CTATCCCCATCTCGTCCTCGTGCCGGAGTAGGAGCTTCCCCAACATCAGGCACAACTCCTCGAGGCGGGTCTCCGAGGTTTGATCCCGCTGAGGTCGGCGTCGCATCGTCTGCCGAGAGTTTGACGCCCGCTTGCCGCGACCCGCACCGAACCCACCCTTGGATGCCGGACCTTGCCACTTGGATCTCTACTTGGCATCGTCCACTCCTGGTCTAGATCCTGGGCTCCGGCGCAAGGGCCCCCAGGTCCATGGGCTGGTCCCCCGAGCATTGTAAAAGACCCAGCTCCGCCTCCATCTCTTTCGTCTGCATGTCCAGGGTTGGTGAGGTTGGCCCCTACTGCTCGAGCCAAGAGCCATTCAGTTCTTCGTTGCTCTGCTTGCGTAGGTGTCGGAAAATGTCCTGCGTTCTGGTGAACCACTGGAGGCAGAGAGGGCAATGCCGAAGGGCCTGGCGCAGGTGCAGACCTCCTAGATGAAGCGCAAGTGGCCTCCAATCCCATTGGCCGAGAGAGGCTGAGGCAGGGGCTGCAGCAGCATCGGTTGGCATCAGAGAGGGCGCCGGTCGGGTAGAGACAGCACTCGAGGTGCCAGGAATGAACTCAGAGCTGCTGCTGTGTGGGCCTGACAATAGGCGGCGGTGGCTGAGGTTCCTCCGCATCCGGCATCTAAGACTTGTGGGTACACTAGCTAGCACTTCCGACCCGCCACCACCCCAAGTCACCGCCTAGGGTTCGTAGCAGCTAAGCAAGGGCTTTAGCTCAGAACAGCTCGCGGAGACCCTCACGCGGTGTGGCAAAGGTTCCCTGTTGCCCTGAGAAAGTCTCTAGCCTTGGAACCACGCAAAGGTTCCCTGTTGCCCTGAGAAAGTCTCTCGCCTGGACGTGGTCCTGGGATGGGTGGGCACTTCAAAATTGCCCCCCCCCCCCCTCGAGGGCTCTTTAGCACAATGGCCACGGACATAGCATGTTCGTCTTCGGCCATGTGAACCCCAATAGCTAGTACTTCGAACTAGCGGAAACATCTGCGATGTTTCCTAGCAAATACCTTCGATGTTTTAACTAGCCGAAACACCTTCGATGTTTTACAGAGGAAATATGGCGCAGCATACACGGTCGTGCCTCGTGCGCACGAATGCGTACACTAGCTAGCACTTCCTACCCGCCACCACCCCAAGTCACCGCCTAGGGTTCGTAGCAACTAAGCAACAAGGGCTTGAGCTCAGAACAGCTCGCGCAGACCCTCACTCTTTTTAGCGGTGTGGCAAAGGTTCCCTGTTGCCTGAGAAAGTCTCTAGCCTGGAACCACGTCCAAGGCTAGCCAACCTCCTAGCAAAGCCGAAGGGTCACCACGGACCTAGCTTTCGGGATCGCTTTGCGAATCTCATAGCTGGAGCCACCTTGGTCCTCTTAGCCACGCCCAGCTCTTCAAAGTAGCTGGTCGCGTGGGCCAAGAGTCGACCAAGCACGCGCCACTCTAGCGCTTCCCCCTTCACTTCGATCCTGAAGTTCGGGTCGAAGCTAGCGAAGTTCTCGTTGGTGAGGTCGTCTGCTAGCTGGTTCAGATCCCGTCGGATCCACTGTAGCTGGAGCTCACAGTTCTTGGCAGATAGCTCCTCGGCCAGCTCCATGAGGATTAACTGGTTGACGGTGTAGCCACGGATCGCCACTCTTCTTAGCGAGCCAAGGCCCAGGGCGCCCAGCTTTCCGAAACTTCTAGCGATCCATGCCCGTCCGCTTTCAGCTTTGCATCGGTTCGGGCTTCTGTAGCCTTCCTCCGCTCTCCAGTCTGTCCGCTAGCCAACCACACAGAACCCTGACCATAGAGGGTAGCGAGGGGGCCGGTTTCCCCTACACGGCAGAGGACCGCGCATGGCATGTTGCGGCCCGAGCAACGCTCCCAGTCCACAAGGCAAAACCGAGTCTCCCCCCCCTGGCCGAAGGACCTAACTTCGGCCTTCCCAGACTCGGCTAGCTCGATGGCGAACTCCTGGCGGTCCTCGTGGGCACCCAAGCTAGCCAGGCCTCCCACGATGCGTTCTCTAGGGGCCATTTTAGCTGCTCTTCGAAGGCATGGCTCGAAGTGGCCGGAGATATAGCAGTGCCCTCAAAACACATCTAGCAGGCCGGGCTGCGCCTCTGGCCACTCCTCCAGAGTTGCCGTAGCTGGGAACGCCTCCAGCATCCTATCCCTTAGCCAATTTCATGAAGTACCTCGCTCCTGCGAGGCCACGCGAGCATAGCCCCCCTCCATCATGGAACGGCTTGCCCCCCCCTAGCTGGCGGCAGAAGCGGGGAGGCCCCGCCCCGCCTTTCAGGTTTTCAAAGTCAGCATTCGTCGTGATCTCACCTGCGAGGTCGTGGTCCGAGAACAGATCTGACCTCCGGGGGCCCCTGTCATCTGTGGCTCTCTTGCCTTTCTCCGCTTCCATGCACATGGCCTTCCAGGTCGACTCGCGCTCTGCCTGGGACAAGTACCCTGCCTTCGCAGTCTTCGCGAACTCGTAGTACTCCTGCTCCCACATCATTTCACCAAGGGCGGCAACCCTTGTCCCGTTGCTCTGCTTGAGTTCGCTGATGAATACAGAGATGTTAAACTTGACCCGGGAACCCTTCTTCTCGACTCTGCTTTTCTGGAACGACTTGCGCATTTCGTAGGATTTGGGATCCTTCTTCCTGAGCTCCACAACGTCCGACTTGCAGCCCTGCGTCTTGGCGACGCGAAGCAAAGACCGGTCAGTGTTGTAGCAGTCTGTGCAACTGGCCTGGTCGTCTTTGGTTCTGCCACAATCGCCACACTTCTTTGTCGTCGTCTCATTCTCCTTGTCCTTCTTGCTTGAGGATTTGTTTATCTCTCTTCTTCTTGCCCGGCTTCTTGGGAGTGCATGGAGCGGCAGCAGCACCAGCTGCTGGGCTCGGCGGTTCAACACCCAGCTCGCCCAGGTCAGACTCCAGGACCAAGGCAGCCATGGGGCCGATGGGGCCGCAAACAAAAGCACACACCTGCAAGCTTTCTGTGCTTGCACAAACGGAAAAGCTTGAGACAACAAAGATATCAGGAAATATCGCAGGAATCGTGGTGAATCGTGCCAACAACTCAAGAAAGTCATGTTTCTGCGCAGGCTTGACCCTCTGGCAGGAGTTAAACCCTAAATCGGCATGGTGTCACGCACAGTGTAACACAGCTATTCGAACCAACCCCGAGCCATCTGAACCACCTCCGAGCCATCCGAGCCATGGCCGAGCCACCCAGCCGAATGGGAGCCCACCCCCTCGCCGCACAATTAGGAGGGCAGCCCAGCCTCTTTGCCGTGGCCAAACAGGAAACATGAAAGGAGCCCAATATAAACTCACCCCGTCGCCGCGGCCACCCCATCCGACCATGAAGCCCCAGAAAAGAAATATGAAGGGAGCCCTCTTCTGGAACCATCTTGTCGCCGCGGTCTCTGCCGTGGCCCACCCATCCAACCCAAGAGCCCAGAAAGGAGACATAAAGGGAGCTCAATGATGAAGGGAGCCCAGTAGAGCCCATCCCTCATACATTCTTTCGGTCATACATACAGTCCTTCATGCCTTCATACGTTTCATTCATTCATAATCATACACCTACAGATCGATAACTTATACCCCTGCTTGCAAGTACCCTTGGTCCTCTGCGTACGTAGGCTTTCGGGTGCACGTAAACCTTTAGCCCATAAGCCCCATAATGGCCTAAACTATGAACGCTCAACGCACAGACCCGCTGACAGTTCTAGATCCTGTACACCTGTGAAACCATGAAACTCAAAACCCACATCCTCAGAACCCTGAAAGCTCCCAAAGCCCTACACTCTTGGAGACTGGGAGACATGATGAGACGGGTACAATACCCTCTGCAGACCAGCTGCAGCTCGGTATGCGGAATCTTCAAGGGCCACGCCTTCACCCGCTTCTGCGGCTGCGGCCTGGCACCGCACCCGAAAGTCCCGCGCCGTGGCCGCTGGGGCCCTGGAACGCCGCAAGGCGCACAAGATCCCCAGTGGTGCCAAGAGAGTCCTTCCCTTCAAGTCCCTCCGCTTTCCGCCGCTTCCCCTGCTGGGATCATGAGAGCTTCCCATGCTGCGCTCGAAAGTTGGAGAGGCATCAGCTCGAGGGATCCACAAAGACAAAGGAGAGGTGCCCAAGTTGCCAACGGCAGACAACGCCATGGCTCCCGGAGTCACCCCCACGCCCTCGCTTCACCTTGGAGCCAAAGTTTGTGATGCTACACTTGGCACAGCAACACCAGGGACCCTGAACCTACAACGCCAACGAAAAGAAAGACCTGGTACTGCGTGGTAGCTCGATACTGCGACTGCGGGCATGAAGCACGAACCATGCTCTCTCAGATCATGTCTGAGAAGGGGGGGAAACCCCCACCCCAACGAACTGACCTTGCTGTAAACTGCTGCAAGTGTGCGGCTGACAACGATCCTTCCACAGCTTGTCGGTTCGCAGATGCTCCAAATATGCTCTGTGTTCTGAATGAAACGGTTCATCGATCATGGGACAGAATGTGGGTCTGCAAGAGGCCACTCTGTGCCCCGGCACAGCTCCAGCTTTTTCGACTGTGGTAGCTATGCCAGCGCAGGCGAAGCAAGCTTGAAGGAGGCCTACTAAGCTGCTAGGGAACAGCGGCAGCATCACGACACCACGCAGTGTTTTGACTGTCTTCCTTGGACTCCACAGCCATTGCTGCAAAGAAAGACTGTGTGGGAAGCCGTGGCCGGCGAGCTTGTCGGTACTAACTTGCAGCGCATGCCTCAGGTCAAGTTACCTCAGAATGCACCAATTACGGCGAACCATGCAAGGGTCGCACAATTGATGAAACGGGTGAAACTGTTCTGAGGGACTCAGAGGTCCAATGCGCAGCTGCTTGCTTTCGCAGTGTCCTCCTTGCACAGACTTGAACAGACCGGCAGACCGTAGGGTCTTCTCTTCTCAACTTCTCTCCGCAGGCGGGCCTCTCTCCTCGCCGCCAGATGCTAGAAGATCGGTGCAGCCTGGCGGGAGCTATCAATGTTGCTTCTGATGGGGAGGCGGAGAATGGCTGACAAGGGCGGAGCTGAAGCAGACGGGCTCTGAGGTGCATGAATTCTGGCTTCACCCAGTTGAGGCGTGAACCGTTCGGCGATGCCGCTGATGGTCCATGGCTGGCCCGGAGGAAAGGACGTTCTTTCGTTCACCTGAACGTCCCAGGCATCACTCCGTTGACGCACCTCCTGCCTCCGTCCCTGGTCCAGCGGTCCAACCCCCTACCGGCATAGTTGGCTGAGTTCCTGACTTGTGACGCCTCTTCCCGCCGAGGGCTGCCTGTGGCTTGCGCTCTGCCTGTCATGCAAATAGGGCAGCCTTCACATCCGGCCCTGTCACAACGCGGATTGTAGACCCGAAAACACCACTCTTGGGCGTCTCGTGGTCACCGGCGCCTGCACGTTGCCGGTGTGTACCCAGAACGTCCTCGAATATCCGACCTCAGAACAGACTGGCAAGTCCAAGAGAGAGCTGTAACCCCAAATCAGGTCAGTGCTTGAAGACGTCGTCCCAAAAGGCATCGAAGACCACGAAGTTGTTGTTTTGAGGCTGAGACGAAAATAGGCTGCAAGTGAAGGAAAAAAACGGCTGAGCAGCGCCTTGTGCTTGCAGAGCCCATGGTGCTTCTGCAGGAAGGCCAGCAGCTTCGGGGACGGTCGGTCGTAGCCCATCTGCTCCTTTTCAGAAGGCAGAAAAGTCACCCAGAAAGGCCTTGTCGTAGCCTTTCGAGCGTGGGGCGGGAGCGATCTCTTCAAGTTGGAGCATCGCACTAAAGAGCTGGTGACCAAAGCCGGAACGCTGGCACCTGCAAAGGCAAAGGAAGAAACAGTTCAACTTGAGTCGGCATGCAAGCCGCCGCACTTTTCGTGCACGTAGAAGTCCAAGGTGCACCTGCGTGAGGCTACTTTGGAAATCTGGCCCGACTCGCCTTGGACGATGACTAAGACCCGGACAATGGCTCAATCTCCTGGAAGCTATTCCGCACCTGGGCTAGACAACGCAAGCACGAGGCACATCCCTGTGGCGAAACCGTTTTGGGGTCTTCGCATCTGCCAGCTCGCAACTTCTGAAGGGAGCCTCAACAAAAAGCCGCTTCCGGCCAACCTGGCAGGGTGTCGCGACAAATTCACTGAAACAGCCGTGGATGCACCAGCGTGCCTTCAACACTCCAAGAGCTGTTTTCCCTTGGGCGAGAAGGTACACACGCTGATCTCCCAGGAAGGCACCAGACCTTGCAAACGAAGGCGAGTCTCGCACGAGTCTGGTAAAGCAACGGAAATGAAAGCATTCACAACTGCTCGCTTGGTACATCACGTGACCGGCTTTCGCAAGCCCTGTGCGGCTGCTGAGCGTTTCCCCATTTCCTGGCATCAGGAAACGTCTCGGGCGGCGACAACACAATCGGGAAGATCTGGCCTCTAAAACAGTGGACAACATCCCGCTATCAGCTCGGAGATGGCTTTCATCTACGAGCCCAACAAGCCTGTCACATGCTCCCATGTTTCCCAAAACAAAAGACTACGTCTTGGGCGCCAGACGGCCCCTCGCGCCCAGCTGGAGCACCGAGCAAACCAGCAACATCAAATGGAAACTCCATTCAACCTGCAGGCAAACGGCGCCAGGCAAAGATCGTGAGTGAGCCCACGGAACCTCGCGGCTGCCGCTGGGTCAATTGGGAGGGCTTGTGATGCAGCACGGTACTCACCATACAACGAATGGCTGCTTTTGTGTAGATGTAAATCAAAGAGCCCTTGCCGACACTCACCTGCCAATGAAGCCATCCCATGTTATTCTGGATGATGACGAATGCTACAATCTGAATCAGAACATGCGTTTCTAGTCGAAGCAGGCTGGTGAGCCGAAGATCCGATGTGGTGAGAGTTCCAGAGGTGGCGTTGCAGATACAATTGCACAGCCCGGGCAACAAATGCATTGTGAAAGGGCCACTGCATGATAGCCAACACCCCCGAACGAAAGAACAGTCGCAACGGCTGCGCAGAATATTCCTCAGACAAGCTGAAATGGAAAACCTACTCAATGCAAGAATCGCCGCTGCCTCAGCCTAGCACGGCACCGCATGCGAAAGCCATCAAAAATAGCCACAGTTCGGGGCGCTTGTTGCAATGGACACACTTCCAAATCAGACCATCCTGCCTCAATATTGGCTGGAGTGACTAACAGGTTCTAGATTTCAAACCATCACTCTCATTCGACGGTTGTTTTTGACACTGCAAACTGCAAAAAATGTTATGTGGGCGCAGATTTATCACGTGATTGATAATTCTTTGTGGTTGAGGTGGTTTTCGAGCTCGAACAATGCTTCGCTGTTTGTCAAAAGGGGGGAAACTCATATATCCCCATTCCATATGTTATATTATAAATGGATATTTGTTCGGTCCAATATCTCAGGCCTCTTAAGGCTCTATGAAATTATGATAAAATTTCTCATCAAATATGATAGAA